CCGACACTCATGTCCGTCGGCACACCGTCCTGGTGACCTGCCGACACCGTGTCGATCAACACACCAACCCGTGTTGATCGATACACCAACCAAGAACGCGAGTTCTGCCCAAAAATTCCTCAAACCACACGAAATTTGATCCCAAACAACACACAATCGTATTCTAACACTTGTTATACCTAATTAAGCCTATGGTCACGCACTCACCTCGATTGAAAAGGAAAAACGGATGAAAAACCGTCAAGAACACCAAGAACACGTCGTTCCAAAGAACTCAACGTATACGACGAACGGCTACTCCAAATTCCAATCGGAAACCGGCGCTGGAAACTAGACACGACGAGCTACAGAACGGTGTGTAGAACGTCCGCTAACTCCCAACGGTTCGACGGAAAAACAGCCCGCAAGTTCGACAATCGGAACTGAAACAGAAACGACCCATTGAACAAGAACACAAAGAATCCGATGAACGGATACTCCAAATTCGGATTGGAAAAAGGTTCTGGAAACTAGATAGATAGAGCTTTCTAACCGTATATATATCGATTTCTGGGTCTTTATAGAACGATGGTAAATCAGCCCGTAAGTTCGGTAATCGAAACTGGAAAGAGAAAATCCAGTCTCAGAAAACAGAACCGACACACTGATTTTAAAAGAACACAGGGAACGGATCATACCTCGGAATCAAGATCGGAAACCTGATCTGAAAACTAGACAGAGATAGGTTTCGAACCTTATATATATCGTCCTCTGATTCCCAACGATTCGACGGAAATCCTCCCTCGAATTGGACTGATCAGAAAAGAAAACTGGAGAAACGACCTAACTGTAAACGATCATAACTCACAATCTAACCGTCCGATTGACGAACGGATTTATCCTACAACAAGAAGAACGACAGGAGAACTTACCCTCCAAGTTTCACTCCGATCCGTCGTGATCTTCCCCTCCGTTTGTCTCCTCCAAGACCCAAACAGAAGCTGCCTTCAACCCAAGAACACTTCACA